CAAGACAAATTACAAGTGACATGTCTAACAACTTCTGTTCCAATTGAAATGTACATATACTTTGAATACTTTACATGTCTAAATGAGTTGTTAAAAGTCCTTTAATTAACAAAATTAAAGGAGTTTTAACAATCGTTTATTCATCGATAAACTTTTAGTCGACTTATGTATATTTGTATTTGCATTGATTTGTAAAAATAATGTTCCAAATTAAATGTTAACTAGTTTTAGCCTACACTAAATTATCAAAGATTTCTAATAAATTCAAAGACACAATTTAAGTTAATTAAATATTATGTTTGGCATAACTATTGATAAATAACCGTTTGAAATATCTTTTACGAAATGGTAATATGAAAATGAAATTATAATTAAAAACTGCTTAAAATACAAGAATTGGGCCAGCGCGAAAATTGGTGTTGCAATAAAAGTAATGACTATTCTCGAGCTCAAATATATTAATTAATAGCTGTTATTTAAATTTCTCAGTAAAGTGAAAATACCGAACGTAATATTGTCTATGGTTTATTTTTATCAATTATGTTCATGTATTTTTGACATTATAAATATTATTTTTCACCATTTTTGAGAAAATTCATAAAATTTTTGATAAAAAGCAAAATATATTAAGAATATTTTTCCTAGTATTTATAGCTTCCGCCTGTATAAGAATAAATTGAGATTTTTACCTTTAAATTGATGTACAACATATTTATGTCAGATGCTTTATTTGTTTATGACAAAGAGGGCAAACGAGCAGACGGTCTACCTAACGATAGTATCGTCTCCCATGAAAATCCGTAAAAGTGTTTTGGGAAGATGAAGAGGAAAGGATAGGAAAAGGGAAAGGGAAGGGGCAACCGGTTCATCATACATAACGCAGCCATTAAAAACTACTTCACACCGATCTCCTGTGAGAGGTTGGTACTTCCTTATTCGAGCCAGCCTATATTGGAGCTACAGTAAATTGACCACAGCTAGGCTCTACTAACATAAAAAAAACTACGTGAAAATGCGGGTTTTATATGTAGATATACAATAGTGACAAATGTAATAATTAAAAATAGCCTTGTTGAGGTTTAAAGAGAGGCCTAACAACGCCATAGACACACAGACATAAAAAAAATTAAAAATTATATATCTTTTATACGTCATATACATATATAAATCAAACATATGCGTCAGTTGTCAATAAACGTTTAAATGTTAAGAGGTCATAACTCTCTAATTCCATATGAACCTTCTTTGTATTTTATATGCAATTTAAAAAGAAAACAATATTGACTGCTGTCGATACTACTCAGTAATTCAAATAAAACAGTGGCAAAATTTCAAAATATTTAAATGTTAAAAAGAACACCACACTCACTACTAATTAAACTGTTTTAATTATATTAATTAATATCAAAGAAGAAAGATTTAATGATATTTATATATTTTAATACAAATTGTTAGTTTAAAGTTGAAAATTAAAGTTATGTTACAAAATAAATAATATTTTATATTTAAAACATAAAAATAATCAAATTTGGTATTTAGTGTATCGAAAAGTGTAATATAAGTTTTATATATTGTAAATACAATTAAAATCTCTTATTTGTTCTACAAATTGAACATAAATAAGACTTAGTACTAGAGAAGAAATATAATGCCATTGCTATCCTAACTTAAAATAATCTACGGAGGCTTAGAGAGGATACGAGTTTTAGAAATAAAATTGAAAAATATTGTAGGTTTAAGTTAGTTCACTTAGTTTCTCTGAAGCCTGCAGCCGACCGTGGTCCGCACCTGTTTCTAGAAAATATTTTTATAATAATGTTTTTTTGAATTATATATCCTTCTACATTATTGGAAAGTATTGAACATTATTACATTCATTTTAGGTACATGCTATTAAATTTTGGGCGGCCTCTTTGGTTTGATGAAGGACATGTCGGACACAGCCAGGACGAAATTGAATTGGAAAATCCGTAAACGTCATAAAAAAATACAAAGCTTTCTTATATGACGTTTTGACCTATTTCATATTATAACAAACGTGAATGGAACTCAATTTTGTTATTCATTTCCTCGATCTTAAATATTTATAAATTAGGCTTTCACAAGGGTAGTAAATAAAGAACTACTAGAGGTACTTTTCCCCCTTAAAAAATTAACACTAGATGTCAACAATATTCCCCAACATCAAAATAGCTGAATTCATCTATTACCAGAAATGGTCTTCTTAATTTTTATTCTCTATTTTATACGCACGTATCACTTGTATTGTACATAATAGTGTTATGTTTGTATGTACATATATATATAATAGAAAATAATATTTGCTTTAATTTTATTACTTCGTTATTACTAATGAACCAATTTAATAAAACTTTTTAGTAACGATTCCTATATACCACTTAACTTCTAAAGGTATTAAAATCATATATTAAAATGTTTTCTGATGACTCCTTTTTCACACTCTAAAACAAGCATTTGGTTTGGATGTCATGAAGTAATAATGTAGCCTCAGACCTGATTATACACTTATAATAAGTTCTGTTAAACCGCTTTCAAAAACTAAAATTCTTTTCACTAAATATAATTCAACACAATTTTCAAAGTCTAGTTTAGTTCGTTATTTGTTAACACGCGTTAGTAATTTTTAATATTTATGATAAAAAAGTGAAGTGGGTGATCTAAATGATACCAGTATAGAGAGGTATAAAAAGTTAAAAAAAAACCTTCTAGATATACATACATTAGGCTTTTAGTTAAAAGCAGTTCTTTTAATATAGCAAACAGCCGAGGCAATGTCATTTGTTTGTTTACATATACGCCGGTAGAAATATTAGTCGATGCAAGAAGCAGTAATTAATTAAACATACTCCAGATTATGTAGAGTTCATTTGAATAAATGCATTTCATGTTCTAGTGGAACTGTTATCATTAAAAAGAGTCGAGATTCATTTACTAATACTTAATATGTTGATAAATAAAATGATTAATGGAAAAAAATGCCTGAAATTACTAATACCCATTCTGTTATTTATTTAGATATTTTACCCAGAATACAACGTTAAAACCATAATACAACTGTGAAGGTATAGTTGTATATGCAACTGAGTTTGTGCTTCTATTGCATCTATATTTCAAAAATAATAAGATACACTAAAGGATATTTTATTTTCATTAAATCCTGTTTTGAGTCTTATTAACTACAAAGTATTATTAAAAATGAGTGTTTCAATTTTGTTATTTAAAATGTATTTAAGATCCTGCAAACATTTTCCTATCTCCTCCTGATATCTTGTTAAGAAAATTGGAGAGAACAGAGAAATTTCAAGACAAAAGAACTAAGAGAACGAGTTATGATGTTTCATTTTACTCTGTCTTTAGGAAACCTGAAACCAAATAAGATAATTTAAAAGATTTAAAAATACCTCAACATTAAAATTGTTAGTGCTATCAATGATTGTAAAAGCAGATAACTGTCATGTTATTAAAATGAAATTATTATTAATGAATTTATCTTAAATAACTCAGATTTTCGTTTATATCATAAAGATAGCTCCCGTCAAATTGTTTGTTTTATAAAAATCGAAATTACACCATTAACACTGAATCTCATCATTACTTGAAGGACGATATAAGGTGAGAATGTAGTTTCATTACTTTATAAAAGTTGACTGTTTAGTATAATGGATATATAATATTAAACTTATATAAATTTAAACATTAAGTAATTTTGTCAAACCTAAGTTACTTTCATATTTTGACAACGAATATTTATTAATTTGTTATATAATGTATTACCTTTTATCGTATTAATTTATCACAATAAATTAAAGTACTCGATATATAAATGAGACTGTTCTTTAGAAAACGATGCTGTGTAATAATAATAGTGCAAATAGACAATATCATAAAAGTTAATAGTAATTGTGCATTGTGGTATTTATTTTATAGAAATACGGACATTTACCAATGATATTATTGAGTAAATGTTGATCTAAAATAAGTGCTTTGATATCGACTAAAACAGCAAGTGTGACAATGTGATTTGGTATAATAATAGAAAAATTACTACAAGCTCGAAAATATAAAGATTCTAGGGCTTATCGGTAACAAAAGTCACACTTTTGGTCTAACCTCAGCCAAATAAAAAATAAAAATTAAAGTCAAACAAAAATTTAATGTAACCTGATAAAGAACGTCCACAGAAAATTATTGTAGGTAAATCTTATCTTATTCATTTATACCCAAGAGTACAATAAAGTATAACAAAAATTTGATAACTGAATCTTGCTTAGGAACATCGAGGGAGACTTATAATGATAAATTTTTGAAAATATATTTTTGACTGACAAATAACCCCGTTAAGGACCCTATTTCAAATACATATAATATGTCAATATATATAATTACAACACATACTATAATTATTCCACGAATAATTTATACTGTCGTGTAAAAATGCAATTACTTTCAACAATTATTCTACGTAAACAATAACAGCTGCTATATAAATTTGTATTATAGAAAATAAAAACTACAGTGGTATTAAAGTATTTATATTGTTTTAGTAGTGGGTTATAAAGTTTCTTTACTATAATATTCATGAAAATTCTCTAAAACGATTTAATAGTACAAATCCATAAAAGTGTTGAAAACTAATTCTGTTATTATGATACTAATGTATACTTCTAAACTTTTACATTATTTATAGTATTTTACTGAATTGTATGGTTACCTTCAACTAAAACGGTGTGTTAGACTTGAGATAGTAAGTTTTATGAAAGTAGTCTCGTATCAACTGCTGTTGAGTCTGATTAAAAGAAAAATAGAATTGTTTGTACTTAGATTATATTGCAGATGAGGAATAATAATAAAGGAAAAATTCCAATGAGAACGAGTTTAAAAACGGATGTAAAGCTTTTCCTTTCTATTTTGATGGTTTTGCTTATCACTTTACATTCAAGACTTATGAGACAATCGATATTCAGGGTTTCGTGTCCGTCATGGACTCTATATTTAACAAGGCGAAATGGTTTGGTATTCCAACATACGGTGGTCATTTGGCAGTTTTCTGGACAATAGTCATGCTGGCATTGCTGTCTGTAATAGAAGTTGCAGCTTTATGGAAATTGGCCCGACTTCTGGCAAAATCTGCTGGACGTAAGTTGCAATAATTATATACGTACATATTAAAAATATTCCCTTGGAAGTTTTGTAAATCTTAGAGTATTATTATTTCCATACAATGTTTATGTGAAAAATTCCTATTGAAAGATTTTATATTGGTTATAATTGATGATTACATTATGTAACGTAACCACATTGTCGTAAAACAAATACGTAGTGGATTATAATATGGATTTGACATACATAATAATTGCAGTAATTTCATTCAACTTTTGATTTCAGGTAACGTGTCGGCAACACTCTCTGGATCAATTTTTTATGGAAATGCTCTTCTTTCATTGATAATTTCTTGGAAGTTTGTTAAATCTTGGCAATCTTCAACAAACCATTGGATTCGAATAGAATCAAGGGCTAGTTTTCTTTTACCGGACAGTTCTATAAGAAGAAAAGTAAATTTTGTTAGTTTTCTTGTAGCTATTTCGGCAAGTGGTGAGACCAAAAAACACTTTTTTTTCAAAATCTTTTATTTATGTAGGTACTGATATATATTACAACGTCACATTTTTGCAAGTCTCAATAATGTCATGAAATTCAACTAAAGTGAACAAAAAGATACGCTGTCATGTTTAAAAAATTGTACATGGTTAATAAATAAACTGATTTCAGTGGAGCACATTCTAAGCATGATATCAGCCACAGGTGTAGATTGCCCTCCTGAAGATTATTTAGAGCGGTATATTTTAACATCGCATGGATTTTTGATACATGATTGTGAGAAAGGATATGTATCGTTTTACAAATGTATGTTTTTATAGTAATTAATTTAAAATTTTGAATATTTATTGCAGATGAATATTCTTTGTGGCTGGCTATACCAATATTTATTATAAGTAAATCTGCAACCATACTTTGGAACTTCCAAGATCTTATCATAATCCTTATGAGCATGGGTCTTTCATCTCGCTATCGCAGACTTAACAATTTTGTCAGAGAAGTTGTAGAATCCGAGAGCGAAGTCTTGGCTGAAAAGAAAGTAGGAATGGAGAATGTTTATTATTATAATGAGCTTTGAAATTATGTTTACAAAATGTCATATTAAAATAAAATATATCAATCATAACGTCGAATTCCTAATAGGGTCAAAGACTACATACATATGTCAGAAAAGGAATAGCAAATAAATAAAAAGCTTTAAAAATGTGGTCAAGAATATTACCTTTTTAAGTACAATTGTTTTTATTATGAGATCTGAGATTTTCGGGAGTCATTTAAATAAAACTAATATTTTGTGGATATACTACGCTTTATTGTTTTTTATAAAAACTACATACTCATTGACATTTCGTCTGCCCGTGATTACGGTTGCTGTAAAGTAACCGAAATGTCGAGAATATGTAGTTTTTATCAAAAATAAAGTCGCGTAGAACATATATTCGCAAAATATTAGTTTAATTTACAATTGTGTTTAATTGTTAATGACTAAAGGTATTTTGCAAAAACTCTAGCCACTTCTTTTATAACTTAAAATATTACTTTATATCGGTATTTGTAACCATAATGCTTTATATGTGAAACACTGATTAGTTTTGCTGTTTTAGTTGGCCACAGGTTATCATATTAGAGTAGACGTGTGGCGACGAATCAGACAAGCTTTCGTACAGCAATCAGCGCTTGTACGTAAAGTTGATACGGACCTCGGAGCGCTTATACTGTTGTCCAACTTGAATAATTTATATTTCATATGTTTGCAGCTGTTTTTGGGTATAAGGTACTTATGTTCTATAGATAATAATTATCAGACTCAGAGATGTTGTTTAAATTTCATTTTTCAGATCTATAGAGGGCACATTAATAAACAGGATTTATTACTTTTACTCATTGGGTTGGTTACTCTTGAGGGCTAGTAGCGTTGTGTTGGCAGCTGCCGAAATCAACCTCCACTCACAAAAAGCATTGCCTTTCCTTTGTGCATTTCCTAGCTATGCTTATAACATCGAGGTATATTCAAAATTACTATTTTTAATCAGTATTTTATTTATTATTCAGAAACAAAGCAAACGTTATCGTTAAATTAATTTGTAATTTATATTTTAACACCTCGTTTTCTACCTTAATATATTTTTTGTACAATGATCTTTTAATATATATTGACAGATAAAAAGACTTATATGCCAGTTGAGTAACGATCAAATATCTCTTAATGGTATGGGATTCTTTGCTCTGAATCGGCAGAAGCTTTTAGAGGTTTTTATTAATTTTTTTTAATAAATTAATTAAATATATGTTTTTGATTCCATACAATATTTACATTTTATAGTGTGCATGCTTTTATGCGCTAAAATTATAATGCCATAAAAATAATAAAATTTGTTTTTAGGTGGCTGCAGCGATTATAAAATATGAACTCATTTTAATACAATATGACAAATATTAAAACAGTGTAATTAGGTTGTATATAAATTTCAATCATAGAAAACAGAACCAAATATTTTTCTAAATATAGGTAAAAGGGAAAGAAAAATAACATAAAAATACTATTTAAAAAATTAATAAACTGCTTATTCAGATACTACATAAAAAATATATAATTATCTAAAAGAATACAATAAATTTTATTTTATATTCAAAATTTTTCTACACATCAACAATCAGCAACCAAGATATTAATTTTAATCTTCTACCTAAATCTTGACAGACTCAAAGTCTATCATAAATCATTGGAAATATTCCTGGAGCTAATGATTTATTAATTCATTTCTGTCACTCTATTTCCATGTCATCAATAATAAAAAATTAAGCACTTTAACATAACCGTTTTATTACTCATGAAGTGTTTTTTATATACAATTAAGAATTGTCTTTATTTTAATGTAATGTAATTATTTCGACAGCTGAAACTGTCCAATTAATGTTTAAATGAACACAGTTTCACGTTTAACCCCTTTGTTTAAAATATCTATAATATTTTTAGGTATGTATAGAGAACATGTACATATATATTAAAACGTTATTGTTTATAATGATAATTTGAATAAAAGAAGACATATTTGAAATATTTGAACTGATAAGTGGTTTTCTGATGTTTACTTCCGATTTTCGACGATTATGCAAGTAACAATACTGTTTTAACAAAATTTTTGCTCTCTTCGGCCAAACCATTGCGCGATTTTACCATTTATTGGTCCCGTATTCATCGTATTGAGAGGATTATTAATTAGATCTTAGTTGTAAATGTGGGAACTATAGGTTGAAAATTATGAACTTGTTTTGGGATTAATAGGGATAATGTGGTTTCCATCGTGTTAATAGGATAACTCTTCCCTCCCATAAGTTAAACACGAGAAATTTAAGGGCAGAGTCACATTGTTTGGCGATCTACAGAATCAAGTGGATGTAGTTGATATAGGAAAGTATTGGACGAGACAAGAAATACATCCGGTGGGTACGAATTTGTGCTTTGTATAGCATAAGCAAGTGACCTAATTTAAAATACGAAACATAAAAAGAAGTCCAGATTCGTGGAAAGTAAAGCTCAATTAAATACCAAAAAGCTGAGGATAATGAATATAGCAATACAATATCTCACATCAAGACACTTGCCTATGGTATACGAATCACAAATTTCTACCCACATGGAGTATTTCATGTCTTGTCTATACTTTCGTATACCAAACATTTTCAATAGTTGCACGGATCTTTGGGGGACTATTCTAGAATTTAAAATGGCAAACTTTTCTCTTCCTGGTGTTGAACACAACTAGGTTCAATCTCCTTCTATCGAAATCGGCTCCCAGGTAGTCTTTATTTCAGAGACAAGTTTCATTCTGTTAGCCCCCCTCTGTTTGCGAGGAATGTTTTAAATTTTGCGCTATTATACGTTTATCTTTTGCACTATTATCTTCATAAAATTGAAAGTTACTGGTTTACAACATTCTGTATAATGATTTCCCCGATAGATGTACGTTACTCCAGACTCGATGGAAAGCCGTTTTCAAACCTTGTATAGAGTTTTTAAAGATACAAATAATTGACTTTTTTTTTTTATCAAAACTCATAAAAACATTTTTATCTTCAGGAGTGATGCAATAACATTTGTTACTCGAGTAAGTTCCTTAGTAATTATAGCTAGCTACTTACTAATCTTAATCTACCTGAGCCGAATTCTTCAATTGATTACTTCGTTTACTATGTAATTTAACGACTACCCAATATATTTTATGTACATACATACTGATACGTACTTTCGTATCCTTTGATAAACAAAACCTGATATTAAATATCGGATCGTTATAAGATAAAAAGTCAATAAACAATAAATTGAATTAAAATATAAGTTGAACACTTTTTTTTCGTAAATACATGTATCAAAAAAATTAACAAACGATTTCACTCAGGTCTCCCATTAAAATTTTGAATTGGTGTATCCTCGTATATTATTTGCTATAATATTATACTGCTGTGATATGGCTACACTGTTGACGTTTAAATGCATTGAATTATATATGTTTCCTTGCTGTTTACAGTCTATACATAGCCAGCTGTACACATTTATCATCCTAATATTTGCATAAGTTTAGATCAAACTGTCAAGAAACACAGGCATAGCTTTGCCAGGAGCTCGTTGCTGTTCAAAATAAACAATAATCTGTTTCTCAGAATTCCTGTGTTAAGAAAGTTTGGGGAGAGATGGTATAGCTCAAGCTTATTATACACGTTGATATATTATAATCTGCTTTATTACATATTAATTAACTTTGTCAATAGTATTACCATGAATATATTTCGAATTGCAAACAAATAAGAAGACGATCAGGTCCATTGATGGCAATCTTTACACCGGTCTTAGAGTTTGTTCTGAAATCTCGATAATATTCCGTGAATCTTTTGTATTTCAATAACATTAAAAAAGTATTTTATGAAATAACAATAGAATCACATTTTGAAATGTCCCATCTCTTGAGTTGCTATGCAATAAATTAATTTCCAATATTTAGCAATATTTTGCAATATTTAGCAAAAATAATTTCCAATATTTAGCAAAAATTTTGATCTAACTTTCTAGTTTTATGCCTTCTCTTTCCTCCGTCAGTTACACATAGTGTAAAGTTTTGTATAACATGACTTTATACTTTATTATGATTTTGATGACATCATTTTCTTTTACTCAAAATTAAAATTCGTATATGTATTATATTTAAGTAATGAGGCCCGTTTTTTAAAAGTTTCCTTGAATAACATTACAAGTGCATCGCTCATTAGTATTAATTGGAGGGCATCGTAAGGAAATAAACGATACCGTTATATAAATATAAAGAGACAAAATTGAGATAGAAATATGAAAAAATCTATGTATGACCTCAAACAGTTTTTCATCATTTTATCTTGTCTTAATTCAAACTTTTTTCAAGTGTTGGCAAAGCAATCAAAAAGAGTTGTAACAAAAAGGTTTACGTATGATTTCATTCCATTCATATGATTTTGGGAAGCATTGAAATTAAAATAACTGGACATAAGTTTTCATAACTTAAAGTAACACATATCAAAGTGTAATTTGAACTGATGTTCATGTAATTTTCGTATATATGTAGTATACGTAGTATATACTTATAATTATTTAAATTTCCTACAGGTGAAATTTTTTTCATAGTAGGTATGTTATTACAATTTTATTTGGTCCAATGTAAGTACGGATGAAGACTACATTAATTTTGTGGTTATAATCGAAAATAAATAATTAACTAGGATCTTACCGGCTTATTTTTACTTAGAATTGCCTTTGTTCTGTTTGGTGGTCTCGCTGTAATTAAAGAAACATTTCTCATATACGAAAAGTATTATCGAGATGAGTTTCAAAATCTGCGGTGAAAGGTACAGATGTAAAAATAATAATGATATTTAAGGCACTCGCGCATATTCATTTAAGTGAAACAAATATTTTTCGGATTATACTACGCCTATTTTACCACTGGTAGAACAGATGTGATCACCGTTGCTGAAAAGTAACCGAAATATTGGGAGTATGTAGTTTTACAATAATGAAATAAGTATAATCCGAAAAAATATTAGTTTCAT